AGACAGAGACAGAGAGACAGAGACAGAGAGACAGAGAGAGGCAGAGATAGAGAGACAGAGAGACAGACAAAGAGAGAGGCAAATTACTACTTTATTTGGCTTTGTAAAAGGACTTATGACCATTAGTTTCCATGTAAGTGGATGTACCTAGTCTGATGGACCAGGACTGGCTGGCAAGTATAACACTACAACCCAGGAACAGAGTGGGCAGTGAAGACCTCTTGAGTTTGGCTGTTTCAGGACTCTTTTCACAGAATGAATGGAGCAGCTAATGAGATCTCCAGGTGGCCTCTACCATAGATGTCCCAGAAACTGGGAGCCCTCACTATCTTCCTTAATGTCTTGATGGAGGTAAAGAAAGCAATCATTCCTAAAAAGTGCAAGTTGATGCCAAATGATGAACCCTGACATCCAATCAAAGTTGTAGGGGAAAAAATCTTGCAATGAAAGAATTCTTGAGAGTCATTAGCCCAGCATAATACCATCAACTAAGCCACTGACTTCAGCATACAGATGATACAGGGGAACACATTAAATGAACTGGATTTTTAAAATCAATTTTATTGAGGAACAAATAGCAATGAGAGTTTCAAAACAGGTTAGTTACAATAATTAATACATTGCAAATTGTTGTCTTCATAGTAGTTACTCACAGTACAAGATGAAGACATTATATCCCATCCAAATACTATTAGTACAAATCTTTCTTCTCATTGAATTAAGAGAAAGTAGCTGTATATCTAGTCTAACTATTTTGTATATACAGATACAAAATGGTCCTTCATTTATAGCCCCTTTTTTGTTTAGTTTTGATGAACTGGATTATATGAAAACACGTTGTTTTATTTGGCTCTACACTATTCTGACAATACTTTACCAAGTGAAAACATTTGTTTTAGGAGCTATAAACCAGCATAATTAAGCAATGACCTTACTTTCTTTGACATAAGACCCAACATTCTGTTTAGAATTTGTCTTTCATCATGATACAGACCAATGTCACAGAAGAGGAAACTATCTCCCATGAATTATAAACATTGCCCACTCAAGCAGCAGTTGTACTATAGAGAACCCAGGAAATCTGTTTCCTTAATAAATAAGTAAGCTAAAAGTACATGTGGCCCTTTTGAAAATGTCTTGCTTTAAGCCAAGAATTGTATCTCCCACTAGCTAATGAACTTTTTAAAGATTAGCTATCATTTATTCAAAAATCATAACTTATTTAGTTGCCCTTGAGATGGTTTTCTATTTGGAAGCCCCAGAAGAACAGATTGATATACTTTGGCCAAGGTTACTCTAGAACCCATCAGTATTTTTAAAAGAAACCCGAAAGAAAGAAATATGATGCTAATTATCTTACCCAAGTCTTGACCATGGGCTCTTTTATTTCCTTGGACATACAGCAGAGAAAAGCCTTCAGAGATTTGGACTGTTCCCTGTGGGCATTGTGGTGCATCCACTGTCTGGCTGTGGCGTGTGATGAGAAATCCATGGGCAACTGAAGTAGTTCCAGGGGGACCTGGTGGTCCTTGCAACCCATTTGGTCCCGGAGGACCATCCAAACCACGGGTACCTTTTTCCATGAATCATCAATATACAAGATTAAATAAGCTCTTATCCACTATTAAGGGTATTGACAGAACATAATTACCACATTTGATTAGTGAGTTTATTCAATATTTACAGAGAGTCTCTAGAGGCATTGTTAGAGCATAGAGCACAAAGACAGATAAGATATGATCCCTGACCCTCAAAGGAATTTAAATGTACTTTTTTTCAGCCATTGGTTAGAAACATTAGGAGCTAAGGTGAATAGAACTTTAAATAGAAGAACTGTTGCATATGGGAAACCTGTGTATTATCTAGTATCTTGATACACTCAAAGTGTTTGAACACCATGAACAAATTTCAGTCTACTGTTTTGTTCATTAATAAGAAAGGAAAGGTGTGATTTCTACCAGTCTGTCTGTTTCACTGGATTTTTAAAATGTTTTTTCTTCTGATTCTTTCTGGAGAATTGTTCTCAGGCATACTTTGTTTAGAAAATAGCCTAATGCATTCTGAAATAACCTTTTCAAAATCCTTATTTCAGTGTTCCACTGGCTCCCCTTCCCAATTTTACCTCTTAATTTAAGCACATTGATATTTCTATTTATATAATGGTTTTTAACCATTGTGTATATAGATGTTCATCTTTAAATTCAAAGCAATGCTGGTAATGGTGATGACAACAACTTCTTTTTCCTCTGGAAATACAAGTGTAATTAGTTGGCAGGATATTTGCTCTAGGAAGCTTATATACTATCCTGAATCTGCCTTGTTGGCATTGATTTCTATTTTTTACAATACAAATCCTTTATGTTTATATTATTTAGAGTTACTGACATATGCAACAATGTATTCAGTTTATGTTCTTCTATTTGTGTTTTAACCATTTTATAGTAGTGCTTTTTTTTACAAGTTGACTCAAATTCTTCTTGGAAGTAGGAGAACCCTAGATGTCAGAATTAATTTTGTTAGGAGTACCTATTAATGAGTGACCCAAAAAGTCTACATACAAATATATCACCTCAGTAAGAGATGTCACCAGCACTTCAAAGTTCTATGGGGATCACCTAAAATTTCATTTATATTTATTGCATTTTATGTGTGTGTGTTGGGGGGATTACACCTTAGTGTGGTAATTTCAAATATGGATGACTTCACAACAGTTCCAAAGTGGTTAAGGGATTTAAATCAATAAACTGAAAATTAATAGAACAAGTGATTATGTTGAGTACCTGAAGGAAGAGCTGGATTTTCAAGTGCTTTAAACACATAAGTAAAAACAACCTTTTATGCTGCTCTTACAGTGGCAAATCTCTTTGATATACCTTCCTATTTTTCCTCAGCTCCAGATTCACTAGTGTATTAGGCTGACACTCTCAAGATCAAAGCTCCAAGTGAAGGACTATATAGAGTCCTCCCAGTCAAAAAGATGACCATTCACAGCACTGTTTTGGTTGTCTCACCTGGCTGGCCTGGCAGACCTGTGTCTCCTTTGCGCCCTCCTGCACCATCAAAGCCCGGGAGTCCATTACGTCCAGGATCCCCTGGAGGGCCAACTGGACCTACAGAAAAAGAAATAGGGTAAAGTAAGTCCACATGCAAACAGAGTTAGGAGACAAAATTTTTTGGTTGTTTGTGCTTTGGTGGTACTGGAAATGGAACCCAAGGTGTTCACACTGAGCTATATCCCCAGCCTTTCTTTATTGTGTTTTTTTATTTTGATACATAGCTTCATTAAGTGTCTAAATTGCTACAGTTATCTTTGATTTTGAGATCTTCGTCTTTCAGCCTTCCAGCATGCCAAAATTATAGGTTTCTGTATTACACATTGCTGTCTTTGACATAGTTGCTTAGATTGAAGATATCAGCATACAGAGCTACTCAGGGGCCAGAGAAATAGCTCAGCGGTGTAAAGTGCCTGCTTAGGCAAGCTTAGGCAAGCACAGGCACTGCAGTTTGATTACTGGCACCACATGCTACACCAGCCCTGCCCCCAGGATGGGCTGAGCTAGCCAAAAAAATTAAATAAATAAAATTTTGAGAATATGTACAACTTTAAATAACCAATAAATTCTATGCAGAGTATATATTTTTAAAAAAGAGTTATCAAGGAGAAAAATCTGAACATTAATTGTTATTTTCAAAACTGATGAAAATTATTTGTATAATCATCACAGCTATCCTATATATATGCCAGCATGATTTTTCCCCCTCTATTTTTTCCTCTTTTCTCCTTTTTCTCATCTTCATTATTTAATCCTTAAGTTTAGTTTCTTTCCATTTTACTATATCTATTATACCTTTCAGGTTTTATTTATTCTTTCAGGTTCTTACACTACAGAGACAATATGGTATTTACACACGTGGGTCTGATTTATTTCATTTATGAGTATAGTCTCTAACTGCATTCACTTGCCTATAAAGCTTTCAAGTTTGTCTTTCTTTATAGCTGAGTAATACTCCATTATATAAAAATACCACATATTTTTCATCCATTCCTCAGGTGATGGACATTTAATGCAATCCCTATCAAAATATCATCAATGTACCTCATAGATCTAGAGAAATCATTCCTAAAAGTTATTTGGTACCAGAAAAGACCTAGAATAGCAAAAGCACTCTTGGGCAACAAAGGCAAGGCAGGAGGCATTACAATCCCAGACTTGAAATTATACTACAAAGCTACTGTGATAAAATCAGCATGGTACTGGTAAGCAAAACCAGACCCAATAATCAATGGAACAGATTAGAAGATGGAACTACAAATATAAACACACTCAGCCACCTTATTTTTGACAAATGGCCCAAACTTGTTGAATGGAAAAAAGATAGCCTTTTCTACAAATGGTGCTGGAAAAATTGTGTCTCCACACACTCATAACTAAAACTAGACCCTGGTCTATCACCATGCACTAAATTAAAGTCAAAATGGATTAAAGCTCTAACTATTAAAACTGAAATACTATCTGATTTCTTTCACTTATGAGTATGGTCTCTAGTTGAATCCATTTACTATTGTGTAAAAATATTACATCTTTTTTTATCCATTCTTCAGTTAATGGGCATTTGGGTCGAGGAAACAATTTTTTAAAGGCTTTATGGAAATAATTTTTAATTTTATCCCTCTTTTACATCTTATCCAAAGATAAAAGCCAAATGTAGTAAACACTGAAAGATTAAAAAAAAAAATAAAACTGAAACACTAAATTTACTGAAAGAGAAAGTAGGAGGGAATCTTGAAGACATAGGGGTACACAGTGAGTTCATGAACAAAAATGAAACTGCACAGGAAATACTTCACAGAATCAACAACTCAGATCTCATCTTATTCAGAAGTTTCTGCAAGTCTAAAGAAATCACCAACAGAGTGCAAAGACATCCCACAAATTGGGAAAACTCTTACCCAATAATCACTCAGAAGTCAATAGACATAGGACTTCTATCTAGAATATATAAAGAACTGTAAAATATCAGGCCCCCAAAATATAAAGATCCAATCCAGTAATGGACATCTGAGATGAAAACACACTTCTCAGAGGAAGAAATACAATTGGCAAATAAATACATGAAAATATGTTCCACAACATTGGTCTTTTGAGAAATGCAAATTAAAACAGCACTGAGATAGCATCTTACTCTAGAAATAATGGCTATCATGAAGAATTCAACTAATAACCAGTGCTGTAGAGGCTGTGTAGAAAAAGGAACCCTTCTCCACTGTTAGTGAGAATGTAGACTGCAACAACCACTGTGGAAATCAATGTGACGATTTTTCAAAAAACTAGGACGGGAAATCCCATTTCACCTAGCTATAACCCTTCTGGGTAATTTCCCAAAAGAACTGAAAACATCATATCATAGTGATATATGTGCACCCATGTTTATAGCAGCACAATTTGTCATGGTCAAATCTTAGATTTAACTTTAAACAATATATTTGCTTCTAAAGAGATTCCCTTAATATGGCAGTTTTGTTCTTTGCCTTCAGTTCAAGGATGCAATGTAGGTTCCAAATTTTGCTATCTATACCACCATAGGCAGGACTGTTACTGTCAGGTACCTTTATAGAAAAATTATACTCAGGGAGAGAAGACTGAAGTTATTGTGAATTTAAATAAATTTTAAAAAAAGATTTTGGGGCCAGGGAGATGGCTCAGTAGAATAAGTGCTGCCCTGGCAAGTGCGAGGGCCTGAGTTCAATCCCCAGTTCCGCAAAAAAATAAAAAAATTAAATAAAAATAAAAAAATAAAATTGGCTATAAGCATAGAGTCAGAATGCCAAGTAGAAAATAGTTTTAAAAATCACTAAAGTTCTGTAGGGTACAGTTCAGTGGTGGGGCAGCTGCCAAGCATGCATGCTGAGGACTCTGGGATTAGATTCGACCCACAGAAGAGCAGTCTTTTCACTGGCTGAAGTAGATACAGTATTTGATCTTAAAAGCATGACCATTTTATTACAGAATTTTTATTACTAACAGTCATTCAAATTAGACTGCTCAGAGGGGGAAATATGACTGGACCTAGAAGAAATATGAGTATGAGATATTAACAGTCCCGTATTCTAGTTGCTGAGAATCCTTTTGTCAGAGCCAGAATCTGAAATGCAAAGGAAGAACCAAGAAAATGTTCTGCAATAGGCATGTCTTCAAAGATGGTCTAGAAAGCTACCTGGTAAACCTTGAGGGCCTGACAGTCCTGGTGGACCTTTTAAACCAGGCTGGCCAGGGATGCCTGGAGGACCAGCATCTCCTTTGATTATAACACTTTGTCCTGAAGGACCAGGTAATCCAGGAGGACCTAAGAGAAAAAATACCCAAAGGTGAAAATGGAGAGGAAAATGTCAGAAGAAATGGATTCCAAAATGATCTAAGGTAAGAATAAATATTAGTGTGAGAGAAACAAGTTACATGTATTTGGCAACTGCCATATTAAATAGAAATCTGTTTGGGAAAACTACCATTATTTCACCAGAAAGCAGAAAAATAAACAACTTTCTTAGAGTCAATAGAAAATTAGACATATCCTATTTTTAAGTTATAAGCACTATTAGTTACTAAAGTGTTTAATTAATTACAAAGTTGTGAACACTGTTGCCAGGGAAGACAAGCCCATTCCCTTGTAAGTTCATTGTATTTCTGACACTGTTTGCAGTTATTGTTTGTAGTAACTATCCAGGAATACACTCAGCTAATAAGGGGATTTATCAGATGACCCTTTACAGTTTACCATCTATAAGCTTCTCAGCACAATAACAATTTAATTTTAAGATATGCAAACATACATATGTAACTTGTTCTTAGGATATGTTCAAGTGAATATGTGAAAGTTAGTATCAAGGCCAGTAAGAATCTCAGTTAAAGCATTCTTATAGATCATATATCCTATTAAATTTGAAATGTGTGCTATCTATGTTAATAAAATGGAACCCTTAAGAGAAAGAGATTAAGAGATTAGCAAATTATAGACTTTGACAGTTTAGCTGAAGGGACACAAGCTTTCATGTTCTTTCATTTGTCTAGCTAGATATCAGGCATAAGTAGTTTCAGGAGTATTTCTTACCTGGGGGTCCAGTAAGTCCTGGTTCCCCCTCAGGACCAGTTGAACCAGGCACTCCAATGGGTCCTTTCATGCCTGAAAAGACAGTACAAACAATTTTACAGCAAAGCAAAAGGGCAGCTTTTACTCAGACAAATCAAAATATGTGTATCTTGGCCCAAAAGAGTTTAATATAAAAGGAAAACTCCAATCACCCCCTCAAATACCTGGGAATCCAGCAACGCCAGGAAGACCAGGATCTCCTTTCATTCCATTTAGACCTGGCCGGCCAGGATTACCCTGAATACAAAAGATCATTAGAAATAAAATTGTGGGAGAAAGTAAGGGAAAGGAGGCCAAGGTACTCTGTAGTAATTTATAGCAGTGTCTGCAGCGCTAACACTGTAGGATTCAAGTCCCAGTTTCCCATCTTATTACTGTGTGTGACCAAGGTGATTATTTAATCTCTTTAATCCATTGTTTTCTGTTATGATTTATATAGGTATCCCCCAAAGCCTCATGTAGTCACTAGGATGGGTTTCTAGACTTTGTGATTAATTCATGATCCAATTTTGGGGTTATAGGTATGAGTGCTGGTGGGATTATTGGTGTGAGTGCTACACACAACCTGGGGTGGACAGCCTGGATACAACATAAGATAGACAGACTTGCTCTTTGTTGCCTTTGTTGCTGCTGTTCCACCCTTTTGCCTTCCCTTTTTGCTGTTTTCCACCACCATGAACTTCTGCTCTCTGCCATGTGGTACTCTGCCTTGGAGCCAGCCAAGTATGGATGGAAATCTCCACAAACTCTGAGCTAGATAAACCTCTCCTTTCTTAATTTTGGGTGTCAGGTATTTTGTCTCAGCAATGAGAGAAAAGATAACTGAGGTACTGTTTCACCTTTAACAATGAGGAAACGATAATATATAACTTGTACTTCATGAAGTGTTGGTGCAGATTTAATAAGATAGTTGACATTAAGTGTTTAGAAAACTGAATAGGCTGTGTATTTATCAAACAGTAATGTTTTATTATTAACAAAGCACTACCTTTCCGATGTAAATCTGAAGCAATAAATACATTGATTAGATAACAAATATAGAAATGTTAAATTTTAAAATATTTAGCAAGTCCATTATAGGGCCTGTTAATCAGTCTTGAGCATAATAAAAAGTGAGGAAAGTGTAGATAATTGCTCTAAAATGAATCTAAAGTAAAATATAAAATAGCAAAATCACTTAAGAGGTTATTGCAATAGTCCAAGTATAGGAAAATGAAGTTGGTAATAGCAATAAAAAGGGGTACTATAGGGGCCAGGGACATGGCTCAGTAGAATAAGTGCTTCCGTGGCAAGCACAAGGGCCTGAGTTCAATCCTCGGTTCCACCAAAATAAAATAAAACAAAAAATAAAAAGAGGTACTGTGACAATATATTTGTATAATAAAATATGAGAAAATACTAAAAAATAAAGTGGGTGGAAGCATGTCAGAAAAGACCCAGCTTGAAGGAGTTTAAAAACATGAGATAATGAGAGCACCAAAATAAATAATAGTTAGGAAACTTAAAAACCACTGAAAAAAATTAGAAATTTGGAGACCACTACAGCAATATGAAAATGAATAGGGACAAGGGACTTTTGCTTACAGCAGAGCTGACTGGTACTGTATATGTAGAAGTAGTACTAGAGTTTATCACTTTCCCAGCAGAAAGTGGTTGCCGTAAAAATCATTAATACACATTAAATCTAAGGGGAAATTTATATTTGCAAGAACTTAAGGTACTTTTCCACAGTTTTGCTTATTAAGCAGAAAACAGCAATAACACAAATAAGAAAATAGATGACGACTTGATTGGCAAATTAAAAATAAGATCACAAATGAAGGGCAGGTGGACATCAGGAACCTCTTTATCTGTTATGCTGACGACACAACATCAGTAATTTAGTATTCCAGCTGAGGATACATAACCTAAATCTAAACATGACGAGTATCAGGCAAAATGAGAATCCTATTTTTAAAATAAGGGAAGTGATAATTTTCTAAAAATGTTAAGGTCATATAAGAGAAATAAAAAAGGTTAGGAATGATTCCATATTATAAGAGACTAAAGAGACATGACAACTAAGTGTGATTCATGATTTGGTCTAGATACCACTTTAGAGGGAGAAATACTACAGAGGATACTACTAGGTCATCTAATATAATTGGAACCCTAAAGGCAGAACTTAAAAAAGTATTACATATATCTATGGCTAGTCTTCTAAAGTTAATAATATACTATGGTTATATGAGAAAGGTTTTTTAATCCCTTACATAGGAAAGTAATGGTAAAGGGCCATGATTGATGTAACTTACTATCATATATTTCATGAAACAAACATGATGGCACATATATAAATATGCACCAAGGAAGGAAGGAAGGAAGGAAGGAAGGAAG